TCCCATGTTACGAGACTGTTTCCTCATCAAAAACACGTCTGAAGAGGTTTTAGGTGTCACCCATGCGTGTTTGAGTCATTTAGCGATCTCTCCTGTGCCCAATCCTCCATAAATATACACAAACACGACACGAAACTGTACACAGCAACGTGACAAACCCGATGTGACGCGCACTAGTTTCATTAACGGGTCCACGCTGATTATAAAGTGATGGCGCTCTGAAGGGGCAGTGACTTAGCACGGAGAGCAAAGGGAGGGGACGCTCAGACCATCCAAAACCAAAGTGAAACATGTTAAATATAAAACAATAAAAGGTAACATGGTGCTCTGAATATGTTATGTGTGAGCAGTTAAAACCCCACACAAGTCAAAAATGAAATTGATAGCAACAACTATGTAATTAACTTTATTGATGGAACCCCAGTGGTAAAAGTTGACCAATTTAAATATCTTGGTCTTGTTTTAGACTCACAATTAAATTTTAACTTACACATAGATTCAATTACAAAGAAAGTTTCTAATCAGCTGAGAATACTGTACTTAAACATGAACTGTTTCACTTGATCTGTCAGAAAAAGAATTGCCTCACAATTACTTCTACCAGTACTCAACTACGCAGACATAATTGACCAGAACACCTCAGCATCTAACCTTCGAATGTTAGATGTCATCTATAATAGTATATGTAGGTTTGTATTAAGATGTCCCTTTATATGCTAAAATAACTCTAAAAAACAAAACCTGGCAATTAAGTAATATTAATAATGTATCACAGGTGATTAAGAATGGAAATAACTTTATATCATTCAATGAATTAAAAACTAGGAGTGGTTTGAAAGAATCTGAATTCTTAACTTACATGCAAATTAAATCTTAAAATCTTCATTGTCACAGGATACAAGCATGGGGGACAAGAAGGAGTTGGAGGAAAAATTAAAACGTGCTGTTGCACGACAAGGTACAGTCTCAAGAATCTATAAACTTTTACGTCACACTAAAGGGGTCAATAATAATGTCAATAATTCAACAAAAAATCTATGGGTACGTGATTTGGGAATGCCTATTACTGCCTCACAATGGGAAACAGCACTGCAAAACTCCACAAAAATTTCTAAATGTGTGAGATATAAAATTCTGCAGCTCAAATTATTACATCGAGCTTATATAACACCACATATACTAAACAAAATGGATAACAAATGATCTAAACTGCGTTGGCATGGTTGTGGGGCAGAGGACACTCATACACATGTTGTGGCATTGCCCTGAAGTGAAACAATATTGGAGCATTGTAATGGATCGTCTGTCTTGTATGTTTGATGAGCAGATTTCTCTATGCCCGTTGCTGTGCCTATTTGGAATAAGAACTCAAGATTTGTCATCCCAAAAATTGGACCACATATTATCACTGGGTTTTTTATCAGCAAAACGTATTATTATGATGAACTGGAAGGAACGCAAACATAAGTGCTTCGAGATAGACAATTGGTACAAAGATTTTTTGGATTTAATTTCTATGGAGCAGGCGGCTCAATCGTTGGACACAAAAAACAAACGGACTGTTGACCTATGGACTGTGGCAAAACCCTATTTGGACAAAGCACAGTAAAATAAGAACAACATACTCTTGGACAATGTCAAAATATATGTGTATGTAAATGTTTGTGTCACTGCATTGAGAAACTCTGTACTACACCCCCCCTCCCCCCTCTCCCCCCTCCCTTTTTTTGTTTTTTGTTTTGTTATTATTATTATTATTATTATTATTATTATTATTATTATTATTATATTTATTTTATTCTTATTCTTATCATTATTATTATTATTTTATTTTATTTATTTTTTTTTGTATGCATGTTTAGTTAAGTCTGTCTTATTGTGGATGTGCTGGGTATCCAATCCCTTAAATTTGACAAATTATTAAAAAAAAAAAAAAAAAAAAAGATGTCCCTATAGAACGCACCACTGTCATATGTATTCATCACTCAACTGTCTCTCTCTTACATCCAGAAGACACTTTCTGCAACTTGTGTTTAAATGTTATTACTCAAAGTTCCCACCCAATTTAAAAGAGTTTTTGATTCCATTTAGATCAGCATATCATTTACGTCACACTGAACAATTATTTTTTAATGTTCCTATTATAAAAAAAGAAATTGGCCGAAGAGCATTTCACTTCAAATCTTCAAATGAATGGAACAACTCACCCTCCTCAATTCGATCAATTACATCAATCCACTATTTTAAGGCTTCGGTCTTCAGACACTTACAAACATCCTGCTCCTGTTTTTGATAAAAATACACTTTTGTTCTATGTATTTTCTGTTGCACATAGAGTTGCCTTTTTTTTTTTTTTTTTTCCACTTATTTACAAATATAAGTGTGGTGATGATCAAATCAGAGAGATGTATGTATACCTTAGGATCCTGGACTGTATAGTATGAATGCTGTCTGTGTGTTGTGTGAATGTCGTCTTTGTCTGTCTTTTGTTCTGTTTTGATTTGTTTTTCTTTCTCTTCTGGAAATGCTGCTTTTGTTAATGCATTAGGACCCCCTCACAAATGAGATGCTACATCTCAAGGGGCTTCCCTTATAAATAACAAATAAAAATAAATCAATCAATCAATCAAATCAACTTTATCGACAAAATTCAAGTTAAAAGTTTTGATTTAAACTTGATCCTCAGTGTGTTTCCCGTCAATGGGATCTGAAAAAAACAACAAAAAACAGAAAACATTGGTGTATTTGTGTCGAATGTGTCCATGACAACAGCAAACAGACCCCAGCAGCAGATCAAATTTAACCTGAGAGAAGAAAGAGAAAGAGAGGGTGGAAAATGAAAGGGGGAGAAAGAGAGAGACAGAGAGAGGAGGGGCGGTAAAAGAGGGAAAAAGGAGAGAAGAGAGAGAAAAAGAGAGCAGTAGGGTGACAAAGGGAGAGAGAGAGAGAGAGAGAGGGAGGAGACAACGAGAGATAAAGAGAAAGAAATGCGAAAAGAGAAAATGAATAAAAGAAGAGGGAGCGAGATGGAGGGACACAGAGAGAGAGAAAGATTACAGAAAGATTGAAAGAGAAATAAAAAGTTGTTCAGAGAGGGGAGGGGCAGAACAGGAAAGAGAGAGAGGGCTGGGCTGATGGAGGGATAGGAGAGAGTGAGAAAGAAGGGAGAGAGAGGAGAGGGAGGTAGAAAGAGAATCATATTACTTACAGTGACACCTGAGCAGGCACAGTTGGGTCCAAGGCATCAGTCCCAGAGCAAAGGTAATGTATAGATCATGTCAATATAGAAATATATATGTGAATGGAGCTTTGAATGAACGACATGTTTTGTCCTTTTAATAGTTTGGACTTATTTGATCAGTTTAGTGTGTTCGTAGAGCAGTGTTGGGAAGGTGACTTTTAAAATGTATTCCCCTACAGATTACAGATTACATACCCCAAAATGTAGTTTGTAACAGAATCCATTAAATTACTTAAAGCGAGTAACGTAATCTGAATACTTTGGATTACTTGATTTGCTGTAGAGAAGCAAAGACTAAGATATCGTAACATAAGATGTTTTGTCTGATAAAAGAAAATAAAAAGCCCAGACTTTACTGAACTGTATTAAAAATTTTATTGATAGAAGACGAAGAGACACGTCCACGCAGCATCATTTAGTCCTGTTAAATCCTGTTTTAGTCCTGGTTTAGTCCTGGTTTTGTCCTGATTTAGTCCTGTTTTAGACCTGGTTTAGATCTAGTTTAGATCTGGTTTAGACCTAGTTTAGATCTAGTTTAGACCTGGTTTAGATCTAGTTTAGATCTAATTTAGATCTACACCTGGTTTTAGTCCTGTTTTAGACCTGGTTTAGATCTAGTTTAGACCTGGATTTAGTCCTGGTTTAGTCCTGGATTAGACCTGGTTTAGATCTAATTTAGACTTGGTTTAGTTTCCAGCAATGAGTGGAATTACTGAGAAAAAAAAAAAAAGAAAAAAAAAGGGGGATATAGCCCAAAATGTGAAAACAGGAAAATACCTCCATGTAATCCATTTATTTTAACAAGGCAACTGTAATCCAATTACCACTCACTAAAACAGTAACTGAATACAGTTACTCATAATTTGTACTCTGATTACATAACTCTGGTACATGTAATCTGTTACTCCACAACACTGTCGTAGAGACACTTCACCTGTATGTGTATGTGTATGTGTGTGTGTGTGTGTGTTTCAATGTGTTTTTCTGTTCTAGATGCGTTCATTGTTGACCACTCAAAGCCAGAATTCCTACAGAGAACAGATCCACAAAGAAACAATGACGCGACTGAAGTGGAAACAGCGCTACAGCAGACTCTACCCCACCAACCAGACCAAAACCAGTCCAGGGTCTGAACCAGGTCTCAACAAGGACCCCACAGAGACCGAGCCAGGACCACTGCAGGGAGGGGCCAGGTGGGACAAAACCAGAGAAGATTTGGTCCATGTTTGATCTAAAGACAAGGAAGTCAGTCTGCCTTTGGTGCAAAGGAAATCTGAACTCAATATCACTGCGAAAAACAAAGAAAAAAAAAAAAAAAACAGCAGCAGGGCAAGTTTATTTGTAGAGCACAATTCGTACACAAAGTAATTCAAAGTGCTTTACAGAATAAGAAATACATTAAAATCTGTTAGGGAATCACTGGTCGGACCCAAATATGCAGAGGGAAAAAAGTATTTATTACACAAAAATAGTCTTGGCGGGGGGATAGATTCCAGGGGAGGCAGGACGGGTCCGGGTTGGCTGTAGATGGGAGGTCTGTGGAGATGGAGGCTGACCGGAGGCTTACAGAAACTGGTGGGTACGGGATGAGGCTGGCTCCAAATGAAGTGCTGGGGATAGTACAAAAGAAACAGGTAAGCATCAAAAAGTCTGGGGAATTCTCAAAAAATCTTAAAAAGCCTGAGTAGTTCACCGCTGGGATGACGGAACAATCTGGCACTGGAGAGCAGGTCAGCAGGTCTTTTATTGTAGGAGATAATTACTGATGAAGAACAGGAGTGGAGCTCAGCAGGTGCATGATTGGGCCCCGCCCAGGAAATGCCAAACAAGGTAAGTGGATACAGAGAGAGGGAGCAGGGAAAGGAGGGGTAGGAGGAGCAGGGAGAACCTCACAAAAATCACAATAAAAACAAATCAAAACATAAATAATCATCATAAAATTAAGAAGAGAGAGAGACATTAATGACATAAATTAGAGAGAAGAACCTTTCAGTCATGTGCACAGTTAAACAGAACCGTTTTGAGTCTGGATTTAAACAGAGTCAAAGTCGAGTCTGTCTCACATGTTCAGACTGTTCCAGGTTTTATCTGCGTGAACCTGAAACTCTGACTCCTCGTGTTTAGTCGTGACTCTGGGCAGCAGCAGGAGGCCGGTCCCTGAGCTCCTCAGAGTGTGAGATGGTTCATATGACACGAACATGTCACAAAAGAGCCGCTTTAAAGTCTATTCTCTGAGCCACAGGAGCCAGTGCAGAGACCTGAGCACAGGACGCATGTGCTCGTACTTCATAATTCGAGTCAGGACCCGAGCTGCAGCGTTCTGGATGTTCTGGATGTTCTGGATGTTCTGGATGTTCTGGATGTTCTGCAGCGTCTCACAGCTCGTTTGGAGAGGCCAGTGAGCAGGACATTACAGTATCTAACCTACTGGAGACAAACACATGGATAAGTGTCTCCAAGTCTGATTTAGACAGTAAACTTTTGATTTTTTTTTTTTTTTTTTTTTTTAGATGGTAAAAAGCTGCAGATTTTTGATTTGATGTGACTGTTAAAGTTCAAGTCTGAGTCCATTATTACCCTGAGATTTGTGAAGGTTTTGGAGAGAGAGACTGGAGGTGACTGCTGACTCTGTCTCTTTGTTTGTGTGGACCAAACACTATGACTTCAGTCTTGTCTGAGTTTAGCTGGAGAAAGTTGTTTTGCATCCACACACTGATCTGTTGGACGCAGTGGCAGAGTGACCACAAGGTGGAGTCTTATCAATACAGATACACAGACTTTAACAAACTACTTTAAAGGTGCAGTATGTCAATTTTCTGGCTGACTGTACATGGCACCTGCTCGTCTCCATGGTGATGTTATTGATGTGCCAGAATGAGCCACAATATCACATTAAACAGATTGTGGATGTATTCAGTTCAATAATATAATATTGGATGTCTAGTGTTTTTTGGACACTCAGATGTTTTACAGTGCATTATTCATTCACTCCATACTCTGTGGTACTACTGTAGCCACAGCTGCCCCAGGACAGACTAATAGAAGCAAGGCCATGCCCTCGGCCCCTCAGACTACCACCAATACTCACACACACACCACATCCATATCAGATAATGTAGGTGAAGTGCCTTGCCCAAGAACACAATAACAAATTTTTTTGTCATTGTCGCCACTGTAGCACCTGGTATTCTTAACCGTCTTTGAAAATCATGCATTCCCCTCTCCGTAGATCTGACTTGTAACTTGAGCCAATGGCGTCGCCTAAATGGAGATACAGAATGTCACAGTGAGAAGCTCTCTAGTCAAAGCTGCTCCACAGAGACGAGCAGCTGGAGACATTCTGAAGTCCTGCTTTAGGAATTCTACTGAAAATCTCTCCTCACTCTTCACCAATTCTCACACAGATCCACCCAGACTGAAAATACTAAATCATGTGGTGACATTTCCACTCTGTATTGTTGGGCTCTGATTGGTCTAAACCTTTGATTCTCTGTTTTCCTCAGTCTAGTGCTTCCTCCCATCACCATGACGACCGTGAGGCGGAGCAACACATCCCTCTCCTCAGTCTCACTTCCTGCGACATCACTTCCTGTTCCTGCGGAGAGGGCGCGGCCGTTCACAGTTCCTCCAGTGATGAGACCCGCCTCCCCTCAGACCAGACAGTCCCTGTACCAGGACTCCTCCCACCAGGTGAGTATATACGAGTATTCAGCCTGTGTACCACAACTGTAGACACACATTTGAGCCGCTCCAATAGAAATGAAGAGGAAGAGGGTCCAATTCTGGGCCCCGAAAACCCTCAGTCTGTAAACTAAATCTATGTCGTATATGTTAAATGTTTGGATACGTAATGAAGAATCACTGGTTGTGTCCAGGGCAGGGGGCGGAGCCAGTACCTGAGGAGGCGTGGCCAGATGTTACCTGAGCAGAAGTTTGATTTCCCACTGGTGTCATCCTGGGAGTACGGCTGGAGACTGGGTCAGGAGAGATAAATATAACACTCTCACTCTCCTCATCCTCTCATCCTCTCATCGTCCCCTTCACTCTCCTCATCCTCTCATCATCCTCTCATCTCTCTCTCTCTCCATCACTCCCTCATCCTCTCATCTCTCTCATCTCTCATCCTCTCATCGTCCTCTTCACTCTCCTCATCCTCTCATCGTCTCCGTCACTCTCCTCATCCTCTCATCGTCTCCATCACTCTACTCATCCTCTCATCGTCTCCGTCACTCTCCTCATCCTCTCATCATCCTCTTCACTACTCCTCATCCTCTCATCATCCCCTTCACTCTTCTCATCCTCTCATCGTCCTCTTCACTCTCCTCATCCTCTCATCGTCTCCTTCACTCTCTTCATCCTCTCATCGTCCCCTTCACTCTCTTTATCCTCTCCTCATCCTCTCATCATCCCCTTCACTCTCTTTATCATCTCATCCTCTCATCCTCTCATCGTCTCCATCACTCTCCTCATCCTCTCATCATCTCCCTTCACCTCTCATCCTCATCTCCTCTCATCCTCTCATCGTCTCCATCACTCTCTCTCATCCTCTCATCGTCTCTCTCATCTCCTCATCCTCTCATCGTCTCCGTCACTCTCCTCATCCTCTCATCGTCTCCGTCACTCTTCTCATCCTCTCATCCTCTCATCGTCCTCTTCACTCTCTTTATCCTCTCCTCATCCTCTCATCATCCCCTTCACTCTTCTCATCCTCTCATCCTCTCATCGTCTCCATCACTCTACTCATCCTCTCATCGTCCCCTTCACTCTCCTCATCCTCTCATCATCCTCTTCACTCTCCTCATCCTCTCATCGTCTCCATCACTCTACTCATCCTCTCATCGTCCCCTCTCACTCTCCTCATCCTCTCATCATCCTCTTCACACTCCTCATCCTCTCATCGTCCTCTTCACTCTCCTCATCCTCTCATCATCCCCTTCACTCTCTCATCCTCATCCTCTCATCATCCCCTTCACTCTCCTCATCCTCTCATCCTCTCATCGTCCTCTTCACTCTCTTCATCGTCTCAATTCAATTCAATAAAACTTCTAATACTTTCTCTTTGTGTCTGTTTTGAGTCTCTCCAGGTTAAAATAAGATCAACTTTTATTTGATTTCCTGAATGATTCATGTGTTTCTCATTTTCCTTCTCTCTCTCGCTCTATAATCCCCTGTTCTGTTCTGTTCTGTTCTGTTTCTCCAGGAGACTTCACTCTGGATTACAAAACTCCCACTCAAGCTCGATCGTCAGTCGTCAAAAGCACATTTTACGCCCGAAATGGAGTCTTCAACAGCCCCTCTCCCACAGACGCTCTGGGATAAACAGCAGCTTGCTTTTATACAAAATAAAGACGTACACTTCCAAATATGATGTATGTGTATTTCCTCTAAACTTCACAATAACAATAGAGACTTAAAGGGCCCATATCACACTATTTTCTGATCTATGTTCTAATGTTGTTTCCTCGTCACAAACAGAACTGGAGTTGTGTTTTGTTTCATTCACATGTTTAACACAAACCTACAGATTTAGCCTGAGTTCTTCTCTCAAACTGAAAACACTCTGTTCCACATTGTGATGTCATGTGTTAATACAGGAAGTGCTCCACTCTCTGTTCATTTGAAAACTACAGTTTCATGACATCACAAGGTGGAACAGAGCATTTTGAGCTTTGGACATGTAGACAGACTAATAATGCAGGATTAGTCAAACAAACACAAGTCCAGGTTTTTGTTTTTGAGGAGGTAACAACATTCTAACATGACTTAAAGCTCATAAGAGTTTGTGTAATACAGGAGCTTTAAGTGTTTTCATTGCATTGATTCATTCAAAGTGTTAATTTGATGATGTTTGTTTGTGATTTTTTTATTTGGGGTATTTCTTTCACAAAAGTTGAACTCTTGTATTATTTGTTAGAGATTAGGAGAACAAAACTGCATTATTAATCTTATATCTTAAAGTCCTTTCAACTGTCAACATCACGTCTTTGGAGTTGATTCATGGCACCACTTCTGAACCTATTGATATGAAAAAATAATTTCCCTTTTGTACATTTATACCGACAGAGAAGATGTTTTTGTTTCATATGGATTCGCCCTGAGATATTACAGAAATATTCATCATAAACAAAGTCAACAAATCTGTAATCTGACAGTTAAACAGCAAATTCCCCACAGGATTCAGACCTGTTTAAACTCTTAACAGAACATGAGTGATGGGGCGAGTCAAACACTATTGACTGAAAACTAACCTTGAACTATATACAGACAGAGGCTTTCAGATCAAATGTAATTATTATTTATTATTTATGTCACTATAATAATTATAACTATAAAATTTTGTGCTGTCATGCGATAAAAAAAATTGAGAGATTAATTAATTATGATCTGTAATTAATTAATCTAATTAATCTCATTTTAATCTCACCTAAAAATTGCTGAGAAAAGCCTTCAATTTGAGGTATTTTCATTTAAATTCATTATTACATTATTGTGGCAGATCAAAAGACTGATATAGAACAAAAATAAGTGACTTTATAAAGTCATTTATTGTTTAACAAATCTCTCCAAATTGTCTGTTGAGCCCAAGTCTCCATGAATAAGAAACTGTTTGTTGTAAAGTAGCAAAGACGAGGAAATCTGAACATAATAACTTTTGTCTACTTAAAGACAATAAAAAGTCCAGTCTTTAAAATTCCCATTAATATTTAAGAAATGCTTATATAAATATTAGATATTTTAGATCCTTTTTAGTCCTGGTTTATGCTTTAGTTTAGTTTAGTCCTGGTTTTAGTCCTGTCCTGGTTTTAGTTTGCCTTTTTAGTCCTAGTTTAGTCCTGGTTTAGTCCTGGTTTAGTTTTGTTTTAGTTCTGGTTTTAGTTCTGTTTTAGTTCTGGTTTAGTCCTGGTTAGTCCTGGTTTAGTCCTGGTTTGGGTTAGTCCCGGTTTTAGTCTTTTAGTTCTGTTAGTTCTGGTTTAGAGGCGCACAGGAGGAAGCGCGGTTTACGCAGCGCACGGAGAACGGTTACGCAGCGCACACGGAGGGCGTGCTGCGCAGTAACTAAGGAAGGAAACGTGCGCGTTCTCAGGTTGACGATGATGTGAAGGTGTGTGTTGTGTGTGTGTGTTGTGTGTGTTTGTGTGTTGTGTGTGTGTGTTTGTGTGCGTGTGTGTGTGCCGTCATGTGGCAGGTCACACATATAGACAGTCAGTCACTATTAGTGCAGACATCATGAGCCTATGCAGGTTGTTTTCACCAGTGACATTTAAGTTGTAGGCGATTTTATATTTGTTATTTTCTTTTATATTTCACGTTGGGAGAATAATTTCCAAGACACGAATGTGTTTTTCCCTGTGCACTGCTGCCTCTGTTCTACTGGCTCTTCGACCTCGTCCATTGTGCGACTGACGCCGCCAACGTTTTGTGTGGGTTTCCGGCAATGAGTGGAATTACCGAAATAAAAAAAAAATTATAAATGTGTTTTGTGTGTGTGTTGTTGTCCCAGCAACACATAAAAACAGATTTTATAATAAAACAACTCACATACAGAAACAGTAAAGTTAGAGATTAAAAATGAGATTAACGCGATTAAAAAACATAACACGATAAATATGACTGTAATTAATTAATCGCAATTAACGCGATAATTTGACACCCCTATATAAAATACAATACTGTTGTGTTTTGTTTCATTCACACAAAGCTCAAAATGCTCTGCTCCACCTTGTGATGTCATCAAGAGGTAGTTTGACTGCAGTTTGATTCGAAAAAAAAAAAACACCAAAAAAACAAAACAGACTGACAATTCCAGATCTGAAATTATCTAAATGATTCTAGTCGAGGTGTGTGGAGTTTAAAAACACAGTGGAGCACTTCCTGTATAACCACATGACATCACAAGGTGGAACAGAGTGTTGTAGAGTGTAAAAAACTCAGCCTAAATCTGCAGGTTTGTGTGTTAAACATGTGTGAATGAAAAAAAACACAACTCCAGTTCTGTTTTTGATGAGGTAACAACATTATAACATGGCCTAGATCAGAAAATAGAGTAATATGGCCCTTTAATCCTGGTTTGGTCCTAATGTAGACTTGGTTCGGTTCTGTTTTGGTCCTGGTTTAGTCCTGGTCTGGTCTAGGTTTACTTCTGACTTTAGTCCCTGTTTATATGCGCTCTGTGTGCAGGTGTAAGACTGGAATAATCCTGGCTCATGCCCCATCTGAGAGGGGCATCGGGGGCACAGGGGCAGTTAAAATGTGGTTGTCATGGTAACCACAGTTGTGTTTACACGGCTCTGTTTCCTGTTTGTGCCCAGGTTAATGACCCACCTGATCCCACCTTCAATCATTAATCAGTGTCTTTTGTATCCAAGTAACTGTAGTCCAAGTAGTTTTTGTAGTAAAAGTCAAGAGTATTTGTAGCAGCAGTAAAGCCGCTCTTGTTTCTCACAATCTTTTATTATTGTTCCACAGAGACATTCAATAATTCAGAATAATTCACACTAACAATATTCTTGTACTTCCTCGTCCTAATAGAAGAATTAAAGTTTACAGGCAGATTAGGCTACATTCAATCATGATGCTGTATGTATGTATGTATGTATGTATGTATGTATGTATGTATGTATGTATGTATGTATGTATGTATGTATGTATGTATGTATGTATGTATGTATGTATGTATGTATGTATGTATGTATGTATGTATGTATGTATGTATGTATGTATGTATGTATGTATGTATGTATGTATGTATGTATGTATGTATGTATGTATGTATGTATGTATGTATGTATGTATGTATGTATGTATGTATGTATGTATGTATGTATGTATGTATGTATGTATGTATGTATGTATGTATGTATGTATATGTGTATGTATCACTCCAGCAGCCACAAGGGGTCAGCAGAGGACAGTGTGACTGGCGAAAGTGAAAGTAAAAATGTCCATCTTAAGTCATGTTTTACAGATACAGGCTAAAACAGGCTTTACATCGGAGCATAGGCTTAGTTCTCTCCTGATTTAAAGTAACTAACTAACGTAACTAACTAACGGGCTCGACGGTATCATTTCCAGAACCAAACCAAGTCCAAACCAAGTCTCCGGACTCGTTCAGGTAACTTTATTTGGAGCCTGTAGGACTTTTATTGGAACTGCGCACTTAGGCCTTCTCATTTTTGACGCGGCCGCTCCCGTTTCCTCCTACACAGTTTTTGTTTATTTCGGTCATAAAATTAGTTTTGTGTTTGTTCCCCGTGTTCTGTTAAGAGTTGAGATTTCTGTATCGTTCAGTTTTTTTTACATGAGTTTATTACATTTTCCAGTGAGTTTCGCGGTCCATTAGCTCAGTTGGTTCCGGTCTTGTTTCTCTGCCTGTACTTCTGCTAGTTTTGGCATTATTGACTCTTTATAATAAGACACAGTGTCAAATGGCGTTAAGGATCATTTTCGTACGTACAGATGCGTGATTTATAAATGTAATAACCGTCTCTGCATTTATACTTCTGAATGTTTCTTATGTCAAGGCTGTGTCCTCTTAAAGCACCAGAGGGCGCTAAAAGTCACGGAACTGACCAAAACGAACGAAATAACAACTAATAAACAAACATGGAGACAGTTTTTAAATCACATCTGTAGAAAAAGAGTCAAGAAAATGAGATGAGAGAAGCAGTTATTTGTTGCGCAGCTGGTTCCAGTGACTTTCTAAAAACTTTATTTTCCTCTGTCGGGCTGTGTTCACTACTGCCCCCAGTGGTCAGTTCATGTACTGCTCCTGTGTTGAGATCGCTCATGTTTTGAGCAGAGACTGTATAAAAATACTTCTACAAACTTATACTTATACTTATACTTGTACTTGTACTTGTACTTATACTTATACTTATACTTACTATACTTATTATACAGTGTATGGTTCTGAGGAGACGGACCAGATAGGGACAGAAGCCTCCGCGTGGATCTGTGTCCGTGTAGAGCCTCAATGAGACTTTACACGAAGGTTAAGACAACTTAAAGAATCCAAATTAATTTTGTTATTATTATTTTTTATTTATTGTGTCACGTAGCCATTTTTTTTTTTATTATTAAAAGTTTTAAATCAATACTATTCTTGTGGATTAACAAAATATGTAGCCTATGTATGTATTATAGATTTATCTAAAAGAAAATAAGAAGTTAACTACCATAATTGAAGACAAGCTCATGTTACAAAGTCATATCACAGAACTATAACTGTCCCTCTGCTCTGGTGGGTTCCAGGAGAAGATGGATCAGTCCAGTCCTGGTTCTGGTCGGGCTCCTGGTCTGAGCTCTGTGTGTCTGGAGACTGACGGCTCTAAAGACTGTGGCACTGACTCTAAAAGGTTTGTCT